AAGTTCAAATACATGAGGATATAAAGTATCGCTGGTAAATTATTTCCAAATAAAAAGATAGAAAGAGCTGGTGAACTAGCGGATGAAAAAACAGAGCTAATGAGAAAACTGTGAATTAATTATTATTGGCGTATATGCCACAACGTACATGTCAATTTATATATGAATTAATTCATAAACTCAAAATAAATCCTATGACAAACAATTCTTCAGTTATTCCTTCTCATTCATTTTTGCTTATTTGCGTAAGTGTATAAATATGCAAATCTTGCCTTGATATTGCTAGAAGTAGTGGAAATGGTGACGCTGCGGTATTGGTAATGAATGATGGTTGGTGGGGTAATACGATGATTACTACAGGTATAAATGTTGAAAAAAACCACATACAGTTTCAGTAGTCAAATCATTGCTGTCACGTTATAGCCTTTTTGTACTAAATCACTTTTTTCCACAAAATTTTAACGACTTCGATATTAAAACTGATTGCAGTTACATTGTTTACTCTATACAGAGATCCAATCGAGGTGACAAGTCCGTATTGTTCATTTCTTTTATTATTCAGTTGCAGATATTGCGACGAGCCTGCAACAAGGATAAAGTGAACATAAAAGTTAATAAAAGTAATGTTGATAAAAAATTAGAGATGACAAATTCTATTGAGGGATTTTACGCCAGCACTGGGATCTCGTTGATGGGAGCGACAAGTTTTGTAGGGAAAGATACGAGGAGAAAAATGGCTGCGATGTTTGGACACAAACAAAAATTAATATCTCTTGGAGAGAAATGGCAGCTATTTTTCTCCTCATTCGTCCGAAAAAGGACCAAACGATAGAACAACAATTTAAGACGCTCATTCATGATTCAGTTCGTAAGTAATACCTGCTTTTTTTCATATTTTAGCTTGATGCCAAATTGATGAATTTCATTTTTTGTTTTTCAATTTCATTATGTATATATATATAATATATTATAAATTTTTCAGCTTCATTATATATGTAATATATTTATTTATATTTATATAAGTATATTTTACTAATGAAATTTCAAGAAACAATCGTATTTCCATAAGAGTATTTACCATAGAATAGTGATTAACGTTTTTGAGACGATTAACGATCAATTATCAATTAATGCCGACAATCATAGTTGCACTCATAATACAATTTACTCCGTTTGATTTTCTTCTTTGCTTTGAGACACAGATATCAAAATTTTCTCAGATATCAAAAACGTGTTAAAAACATCAAAAAAATATTATTACTATACGAATGTCTTGAGCGAACAATGTACATCGCGTCCACTTGTTCTTAGCAGAGAAATAGTTTTATGTCTAGAAGATTAATAACTAACTCTATGTTAATTTCAAAAGTACTTGGAACAAAATTGGCTACACCACTTTCTCAATTTATAGAAATAATCAACATAACTTTTGAATGACTCGCTCGTTTATTCCGTTTTCATTTTCTATACAGGAAGATTTTTCGCAAGACGGTCGACAGATTTCCAAAATTCAATCTCTACTAGAATTGTCAACTAATCCCGTGATGCTTAAGATATAATTTTGTTTCGCACTGCAGACGTTAAAATATTATTTATCATATACCTTGTACATCAAAGTAAAAAGGAATATTTTGAAAATAAGAATATGGTAAAGTATACGTGAAAAATTCATCTTAAGAAAACAAAGTGAATATAAGTAAAATAAGAAAAAGTAAATAAATTAATTTAAATGAAAGGAAATAAGTTGAATACGATTTTTCATTCTACATCATACCATGTTTGAAATGTATGCGAATATGAAACGCATAATCAACATATTTTAGAAGACAATACACTTTCAGAGAAATGATTTCGTGTGTTTCCATTTTCAGATTTATGACAGCGTCAGTTTTGAAGAAGATTCATCTTGTACAAGATGACGTGGTCACCTTGATTTCTCTTTCAATTCATAATTTCACAATGGCCGCGACGTGAAATACTACGTTCACGTTCTGCATCAGTGTTTCATGTCGCGGCCTCTGTGCAATTCAACGAACCATTGGATGTGGCTGTTAATACAAATATGAAAGGCACTGCTCGCATAATCCAACTGTGCAAGGAATTAAAGCATGTAATCAGCGTCGTCCATAGCTGTTTCCTCTATTTCTGATAAATTGGCATTGCTGTAAGCTGAATTAACGAGCAATGCTCATTTATCAGTGATAGAGGAAAAAGTTTACGCGTAACTATTTCTTGTATTTTCCATTAATGTGTAAAAATCTATGACTTCGTAATAATCATATTAAAGTAATAAAAAAAATAATTATAGGTTCACTTGCTGTTAATTTTGCAGCACAAGTTTGAGCACCGTTCTGCGGTGATTGATATATGTGAATGCGAGGACAAAATATTGATCCATCTATTGGAAAAAAGAATTCTGAAAATTTATCCAAACACCTACATGTTTACCACAAATATAGCAGAACCGGTTCTGTCTGTAATTGTGGTAGTTTACCAGTGCGACCAAGTGTAATTGGTGCTTCGTTACAAGAACCATGTCCAGGTTAGGTGGAGCTACAGGTACTTTTACAGATAATAATTAATAGTTATTTTAATTCGAATCGTGACAATAGATAATCGAGATCGTGAGTAATCGAAATCCGATTAATCGAGAGAGATCCCATTGCACTTTCTTTCGTATGTTTTAATATTTTTAGTTTATTTAATACGTTTTACATATATTTTATAATTATACAATTATTTTATATATATTTCTTTTTTTCATAAGGATTACAATATTTTATTGTACTTTATAAATTTTTCTCAACGTTCTCAAGAAAAGATCCAATCGACCACAAATTTTCATTCAAAAGAATACTAATGCTTTTTGAACAAAACTGTTTAGGAAACTCATCATCCAATGACTTTGACATACACGTATGTTACTAGGATCGTATTCTTGAATGGCCTTTGTAGAAATTGTTTTCGACAGCTTAAGAGCTAATTGCATTTGTTCAATTGCTATTAACAAAATAACATTCATAAATAGAATCAGTCGTTTGGACACTGATTTTAACGCGCATACTTGCCAATTCTACAGTTTCTTGTATTTATCTATATACTGTGCAATGCTTACTGCTGTATAATTTTCCAAAAAATTCTGTTCTGAAATACAGCCAGAATACGCTGATTTCTCGACTCAAGATTATTTCCAGGCCATCTCTCTTATCGGTTCA